TTTGCAGAATCCACCAAATCTTAGTCCCAAATTACTTCGACTACTAGCGGGCGTCATCTTCGCGCGCGCCACAAATTTTCTACCCTTGGCCACATTATTTTCTTCGGCGGCCACTTTTTTACTTTCCGAGCCACAAACTGCGTTTTCTTGTGTTTGCCGGTGGCCGCCCTAGCGGGGCCGGGGGGTGAGTTCCGGGATCATTTCGGGCTTGGGCATGTCCTGAGGGTGTCCCTCGGACGAATAGGCGGGGTGCTAGGTGCCCCGGGTGATACTGAACTGGTACTTAATAAGGGTCCCGAGAGGTTGTATTCGGGTTTCTATAGGCAATCGATGGTCCGGGTCCGATTCGGGCTTGGGCATTCCTTGAACGACTCGGATTAGCTTGCCGCTCCGTCTGATCAGATTGTCACTCCTAGATCCAAGAGACAATAAATAGTATCTTGTTGAGTCATCACGACAATGCTATCAGTTGTATGTCTTTACTTTTCCACCGAACTTGCTATCGGTGACTCCGCGCAATGACATGCGTGCTGTCTCCAATGAGAAGGGCGTCACGCCATTGATCATTGCATCTTTTCCCCTTATGTCTCTACTACTCTGCCTGTTGATTATGGCATCTATTAACGGTAATGACTTGAGTATTGAGGAAGTGGGGAGTGATGTATCACGTATCTCTGGCGGAACAAGAGGTTCCGGAGTTACAATTGGCATCCACCGTGGGGCAGGGAACGTTGCCTTCGAGGATGTGCAACTACCCTGCCCCGTTCCCGACACCATGGTATCGGCTATCATTACTAGGACGGGTCATGGGCAAGACATCGCTGATGACTATGAGGAAGAGGAGAGCCACGACAACGGCACCGAGTCTGATGATGGCCCTGACGAAGATGACAAAGCCTCGAAGAGGGATGATCATGAGAGATATCGGAGCCGTCGGTCTACTCCCCTGTCATCGGATATCTTGCTACCACCGCTAGGTGTGGCGAATCACACTAAGCGCAACTTGGCGGCCATTGATGCGTTGATGGCCGAGGCCGACCCTCGTGCTGGGGATGCGAACTTGTCCTTACCTCGCCTAGAGGGTGCTCTAATGATGAGTACGTACGAGCTCCTAGTCACTATCTTGGGGGTAGGCAAAAATCCTTGGATTTCATCGACGACCTCTCTTATCGGTCGAGATGGCCAAGCTCTTGGCACCAATATCAACA